GTCAACAAACATCCGGCGACATTAGTCGATAGTTGCGAGTAAGATTTACCTCCAAAATATTAGTCTATCGTAATTACAGGCCTATGTCAACAAACATCCGGCGATTCACATAAACAAAAATGAGAGTAAAAATACAACTTTATTTGAGCTATTGTTAGTATTGAGTTAAATGATTTTACACGTGAGATATTTTAAGCCAAGATGATTGTGCCTGATGATTCATCTTTACTCAACGTCGTTACAGTTTCCATGGCAATATATTCCAGGCACAGGTAACGCCTAGTACTAGGGGTTATTAGGAGGCACTTGAATAGAATATATATTAACACTACTTAACTTCGCAAGGTCTATCCACATGAGTTGTGGCACACGTCGGTGATTATATAATTAAAGGCTATGTTCTTTTTTTATGATATCAGTATTCAAATTCGTTATACATTAAAAATTGTCCTATACTGAAATCTATAGTTGGCATAATGACTCCTTTTAGCTTACTTATTATTTGATGCGATTGAAAGAGAATAGAACTGTAGCTTGGTGGTTAAGATACTTTACTTCCAATTCGAGGTCGTTGGTTCTAATCTTATAGCTTTTAGGATACATAAGCGACTAATTTCGCCTAAAATGAGTCTGGTTTATACAGCATTAATTCTATAGTCTAATTCTAACCGATGTTGGACAAAAATAAAAGAAAATAGCCTATTAATAAGATAACATTTTAAAAATGAGAATGAAGAAATTTTTTTTTTTAAATTAGTAAAACCTTGCCCAGGCTCAGTGTTCTTATATTTTGGCCGATTTTAGGTTCAAAAAGTTATTTTGTTCTTACTTTACACACTTTCCAAAGTTGGAAAATGACTATTGTACAGCGCGGTATATTTCTGTACTGTATTATTGAGGGTATTACATAGTCACACCTGCTGCGCATTAGGTACAGATAAGATTTGTTTGTTTATCTATTAGTTAAAAAAATAAAAAGTTATTTGAACATTTTATCTCAGCCAGGATTCGTTCCTATTTTGTTCTAAATTTTAGCAATTTCAGTCTCAGCGTTCTTATATATAGTGTCATTGAAATTGTCATTCTTGTGCCCTTGTTCTTTTTGGTGACACAACCCAAAAGGAATTCCATTTATTCCTTCTTTCTGATTCCCTCTTCATTTTTAATTCATTGTTTGTCAGAAGTAATTAACTATTTTGGTCAACTACATTACTACAAGAGTCATAACCCTGCAGTAAATGCCATCACTGTGGATATTGCTTATTAACTTCAATTGAAATCAAGAAATACCAATAGCTTGAGACGAATGAAGATTTATTGTGAAGGAATTGTATCTCCTCCTCAAGTAGAATTCTTATTAGCACATTTTTTTCCGTTTGAATGGTCGATGTTAGGCCCCAAAGGCAAGGTTTGTTGAGAGGCACGTGGTTAAGCCTGAAGCCTCAAATGGCCTGCTTTTTCAGGGTTTCATTTGGTAATTAATTACATTGTAGTTATGTTCAATATAGCTTTGTTTGATCATATTATACAGTAAGGCAAGTATTTCACAAAACATATTGAATGACGAAGTCTGTAGAGAGATAAATGCCATTTAAATGAAAGTTGAAGCGATAAACTACACAATGTGCTCAGCTCTATGATCTTGACTTCATTGACTAAAAGTTATTAAATTTCGATCCTTAGTTCAATATATACTTAATTCTATAAGAAACTTATTACCAGAAGTACAGGATAAATTCAAACACACAGCATTGGTTGTTTGGATAACAACTACTTCCATATAGGCCTACCAAATCAACCAATTGAAAAGCACAGTAGGCCGTTGGCTGGTCAGAGGGTGTGGAGGAAGCTTTGAAGGTGAAGAAATTACATCCTAAGTCAATAAAAGCAGACATACACATCCACTGGTATGAGAGCAAAAGTTTCTTAAACTTAATACTCTTCTAATATAACTTGCGGTCCTGCATATCCCTAAAACTATTTTGACTGTGCAATTTAACTATGCATGGTCCTTAATTTTTTAGTTGAGGAATTTAGCAGTATTTATGATCAAAAAGTATTTGGATGTACCATAAAGGATTAACTAGCCATCACAATAGATTGGAATTGGCTACTTGTGTCACCAATTCCTGACCAATTGATACTTGGCATATTACACCGCACCTTAGTGGGAATTTGAAGGCTCACCAGATGACTTTATACAGTGGTGTATCTAAGCAGATGGGGAAAATGGGAAATGGGTGGGTTTGCATGCCCAAACAAATGCTTGTACTCTTGTAAAAATTATGAAAAGATTTTGAACAACTTTTACCAATTGGAGTCGATCTATTCGACTGAGTCCTTGCACAGCCCTGACCACGTTTTCCCACATCATGAAAGCTGCTTCATAACTCAGCCCATCAGTCGTCGCTTCATTTCATATTGGGTTGGTATGCTTGTGAAAACCCCAGATTTCTACAGGAGTCCCAAGTTGGAAGAATGGTCTTTCTTAACTTATTTAATTTTATTTTGCTGTGCATGGCAATACCCATTGGCACTGACTTCCGTGAGACGACTGATATTAAATAGTAAAAACATGCAAATTATTATGAATTTGTGGGAGATGGGTTACTTTTCGGGATTTTCTAGCTTCCTTCCTGGAGACTCCCACGACTTGGGATAAATGTTTATATTGCTGGTAGGTGGTCAGTGATCAGCCACAAATGTTAGAATGTATTGTGCCACATAATTAGGCCAAATAAAATAAATTGTTTGTTTGCCTTTCTTTTTAAAAAAATGATAAATAAAAAAATGAAAAAGTTTTTTTTATTTATTTTTTTTTTAAATACTCATCAGATGGAATAAAAACAACCCACAGAGGCCTAGAATGGCAATACAGTATCTTACATCAGACAACAACTTTAGACTAATTTGTAGGGCATCTGGCAAAAACTAAAAATATTTTTTTTTATAATTTGTAAAAAAAAAATCTAAAAAAAACTTATTTTAAGTTTTTTTGTTCCCCCCCCCCTATTTTTTCAGTGAGTTAGGGGCGGGTGGAGGAGGGCAAACAAACAATTTTTTTTTTGGCCTTATATGTGAGTAGAGTGAAATTCAGGCAACAAATTCCAGTGATTATTATTAAGTTATGATACATCATAATTTATGAGCTCTTTGATAACATAAAAATACAAAATTCATTGATTATTGAAATTATCTTTCATCAGAGTTCACTGTGACGATAAAATACAGAACAAAGTCCATTGTGATTCTTAATAGCAATTCATCATAACGTTTTATTCGTATGCTTCAATGCTGCAAATTTGTCCAAACAATAAACTCATCAAATACAGATCATGCTGCAAAATATAATCACAAATGCAGAATATGATAAATTTATTGCTGTCATCAAAATTATTGGAAACATTAACATACAAAGAAGATTATTTGTTTTAAATCATGTTACTATTAGAATATTACTTTGTATTAGGCAATGTTGCCTCCATTAATCATGTTTCATATTTTTCTTTCAATTATATAAATGTGGCACTATGTTCAAATGTTGTTATTGCCAATCACTTTAATCAGTCACCCTTTGTATTACATGTCAGGCAATTCAGTTTGATACTTACTAAAATGAAATGGAAATGAATGAATCGACAAATGAAGATTCACCTATAATAATAGAATATACTATAAGGAAATAAAGCAGAAAACAAAGAAACTTACATTTTGAGTTTACAACGATCACTGTTGTCTTGTTCACAATGACCGTGACACATAATGGTAAATTGTGTCATATGGATGGTGAGGTTTGTGATGCTGTTATACCTGATCCACCTCCTCTGCAATCCTGCCTTCAAGTTAATTTTTTCAAATAAAGTAAATTGAAAGATTGAATCTTCCACCATCTCTATTCAACATTGGTCTATTCACCCTGATGTAGATCGCTTCATTGACACGTTTCTCGAACCATCTCTGCTGTTAGATTTCTTGTTCAAAGTCTAAAAACATGTGAACACTGAGTTTACCAGATCACAGCTCCAACTTCGATGAGGCAACAATTCTAACACAAATCATATATATAATTGTCATGTCAACAATTAATTAATAATTATATTTATAGATTTTGTGTGATGTATTAAAAATTTATTTTATTTTATTAATTTCAGCATGAAAGTATAGAAGACAAAAGAACAAACAACAGATATAAAAGCCAAGAAGCAAAAGCACCGGTACGGTGTGCTTCTCCTGATTCTGGTGTTCTCTTTTGGTAAGTGACCATAGCAATGTCAGGTTGTATTCTGGGTAATGCATCAGGATTCTACAATTATAATATTTATAGATTTTGTGTGATGCGTAAAAATAAGGAATACACATTCCGGTGTTCTTTTCTGGTAGTGGTAAGTGCATAATGTAGATGTAAAGACCACAGCATTGTGTCAGGTGTATTCTGGATAATGCATTAGGCTTCTATTTTAATGCATTTAACATTACTGAAACGCTGTAGTAAGTTTATTAATAGGAACTAACCAGGGCAGTAGAACTACATAGCTGTTGGTACTGACATTAAACGTTAGACACATGATTCGTCAATGCCAAAAGGAAATACATAAGCAGTGATGATCGAAAGAAATGAATGGATAACATCACAGAAAACAGTATGTTTATTAACATAAGTGTAACTGTGGTTATTTCAGATTTGAGCTTGGGAGGCTAACTAGCTCTGTCCACACTATAACATTTTATGTGACAAATTTATGTGATGTGCCCATATATGGGCATGATGATGTCATATTACACCCAAATATGGACATATCAGGAGTTAATTGTCAAATAAAATTTTATAGTGTGGACCGACAGTGGCGTATCTAGGGTGCGTTGGGAAGGGGGAAGTGCACACCCCTCCAAAAATTACTCGCGACCACCAATCGCCCCCCCCTCCCCAAAATCACGGTCAAGTAGTTAAAAAATCACCTTATTTTGTGAATTAGCGCCCCTCAACTGATCATCGAGCCCCCCTCCCACTTCACCTTCGCGCTCCCACATCAGCACCCCAATTTCAAGACTTCTAGATACGCTACTGTGGGCCGAGTTTAACCAGGGCAGTAGGCCTACACATGTAGGTGCTGAAAGACATGTTACACACAGAATTTGTCAACGCCTAAAGCAAACACAGAAAGATGATTGAAGGAAATTGATGATTTCTAAAAATGTGCGAATTGCCTGAGTCCCCAACACAAGGTTGCTTGGAAAAACAATGATTGCATACTGTAGGTTCTATCTAATGATGGTGCGAGGGGCTAAATGAGCGAAGGCATTTTAGCTGAGGGCCACTAGGGCTCCCAGTGGGGGTCCTAGGGGAAGATAAAGCTCCCCAGGAAGCCACGAATAATGAATTTTGATGAAATGTTAGTCAGTCACAGAGAATCCACAAGTTTGTATGACCCGAAATTGCTTGACACTAAAGCTGGGGAGGGTGGCCCCGGCCCTAGGCTTCCGCAACAAGGGGATAATCCCCTCCCCCACTGGGTCTATCTTCAAGTTGAAGTCTCCCCATTTTTATGTGATGCCATTGAAGTTTAGAAAGGACAGGGGTGGGGATGCCTTGTTCCAGTTTTGATTTGCTGTATACTGTAGCTTAGAAGGTGGGGGTGGGATAAGGATTGTGGAGCATCAACATCTCTCCGCTCTGAACAATGTTAGGCGGTAAATCAAAATCCAAGGCAGTAGGTCTACACTTAGGTCATGGTCGTGCAAGAAAAACAGAAAGAATTTAGGAAATTATTTACATCTTTGAATAATATTTACAATTGATTATTTCACAAGATACAACTTCACACTTAACAAATTCCAGCTGACCCATTCACAATAACATCCCTCTTGATGCTGTTTGCCTACCAGACCGATGTCTGTGATGGTCAGAGGTATGTACATGATGGGTCTATTGTGTGTTGTATATGTGAAGTTTGTATACCCTTCCGCTATGTAAATTTGCCCCTGCGATTAGCCTTCCTGGAGGTAATTGTGGAATGGATTCTAGAGGGAAACTATTCAATTTATTGATCATTGCCAAACATGAGTTCAATGTCCTTGTTTTCAGTTGTTTTTGACATAATCATAGAGTCAACAAATAGAAGGTGACTGCAAAATCCTCAGCCTGGTATTTCATGGAGGAGACTACAGAGTATAGACTTGCCACAAGTCTCTTATTTTTTATTATTTTTCTCATTCTGGACAGCGCCACCAACGAGAAAGTTAATTTATAGACGGAATAAGC